GGAAGACACTTTGCTACCAGGCATTTTCATTAACTACGGCCACTCTGGCCTCTTTAAAAATACAAAATACAGAGGGACACACCTTCCCTTCCACAGGCTCTGAAAGAGTGTGTCCTCTTTTTCAAAGGCCCCACGATACTTCTCTATGCAGACCTCTAACTCAAGCCACGTGCCAGCGTGGCAGACAAGGACGCAAAGGCCACTGATACAACCGGAATTTGAGATTTTCCAGAGAAAACCCACCTGACTCCTGATCTCCCCCACCCCCATGCCCGTTCCGGATCCAGGGGCATGTGTAAGTAAACCATCCTGGAAGGGTGAACAAGTGTGACCACACCTGAGGGCTGGTGATTTAAGGCAGTACCGCTTGCCCACAGACAGCATTTCACTTCGTTATTTTTTTAAAATAATGCTTTAAACGCTAAATCTAAATTACTTCCTCTAAAAAAGTGACCGTGTTTTCGAGCTAGGCAGTCACATTCTACCCCTGTCCCATGACTTGATCATTTCTACCATGTGAAAGACATCCCGAGGATTTAGAATCAGTACCAAATTAACACATTAATGATAACTCAGGCAAAATGCATATGCTTACTAGCATTTTAATGAATCAACAGATATTTATTGTTTGAAAATACGAGATTATGGCACTGCTTGTTTTATTGGAAACCACTTCAAAATAGTCTCTCTGCTTTAAATTTGAGCTGTTAAAATTATTAGATAAGAAAATTTTGTAATGCTAAATTTTCTATAAAGTTAAAATTCAACAAAAATCTATCATAAATTAAAAGAGAAAGACTGTGTCACTAACAGTAGAGTCAATAGGTTCCCATCAGGCCTAAGTAAAAGCTGTTGTCACACACACAAAAACACTACCACAAAATATTTACAAAATGTCAAAACAGTGACTTGGATATTCTTCAATTCACTCGTATAACAAAATTATTTTGAAAAAGAACTATACATATTTTCTAGAGAAAGACTCATTAGAAATTACACTTGAGCTTCTGGGGCATGAGTTATAGCCCTGCAATTCTGAAGCAAAGGACTCTTCCCTCCAAACAGGATGCACCAAGTGTTTAACACATTAATTATCATCCTTCATCAAGCATAAAACTAACAGTCAGGAAATACAGCTGTGATGGCACAATTATCAACACACTCAGAATACACCCTGCAGCAAAGAAAACAAATGGGTTGCTTTTCATTAACAGAGCCTGGCAAAGCTTTCCAAAGACAATGTTTTCTTTCCAGCCAGAGACCCAAAAGGCATTTAAGGGGCTATTTATTTAGGTAAATCCAGAGAACAAATCAATCGTGAAACTATCTATTTACATTTCAAAGTATCCATTATCAATACAGAGTCTCATTCAGAAGAAAATTATATACATTAAAAGATGACTTGATCAAGTTAAAATCTAAATATAAGGCATGTATTTAAAAAATATATTGGTGCAAGCGGGTTGGTGAGTCAGGTGACGCCCTCAGGCTCGACGGTGATATGTGATATGGAGGGTGCTGAAAGTTTTCCTTATGGCATACAACAGGAAATGCAATGTGCCTCTATCTACGCAGTGATGGACTGTGTAATAACAGGATTCTATTATACAAGTTTGAATCTATATAAAAAATAATTGGCTATTAGCTTGAGATTCTAGATGAATAGCATTCAAGAGATGCAATAAAAGCATAGTTTATTTGGTTGACTTCTGGACACTTAACATTCTTGATATTACCATAATCATATTACACCTTAACAGATGTATTACTCCTACTGAGTTTCTATTACAATTAAACCATAAACTGGTACTTAAACCATAATTTAAGGAAGGCTCTGGGGATGTAAAAGGCAATGAAGAGTCATCTGCCCCAAATATTTGCAATTAAGTCCTGAACTATTGCCATCAAACTTTCACTAAATTTTCTGCCCAGAAATCCTCTAACATAATCAGCTTGATCCTCTCTGCAGGATTAAATATCATGGCAAAAATTAAGGAGCCATATTTCCTCAGCACAGGAGGCCGGAGATACACAGAAGGATTCTTCTATTCTTGTGGCACAAATTCAATATCATATTGTACTTTATATGCAATTAAGTCACCTGAGCTTCTTTGAAGTTGTATTTGGGGGTAGGCATCATTTCATCTCTACCTGGCTGATTTGTGTTATGGATAGTTGTCTTTCAAAAGACAACCTCTGAAGTTGTACATATAAAATAAAATCTGATGTATATTGTGCCTTAACATAAACTCTCTGCCTTAGCAAAAAATAGTCCATGGTATTCTGCTCAGGCCTGTGTAAGAAATATAAATATATTTATATAAATATAAATATAAATGAATTGTACTAATTTTAATCAATCTGAAGATATCAATTAAATCCATCTGATCTAGTGTATCATTTAAGGCCTCTGTTTCCTTGCTGGTTTTTGGTCTGGAAGATCTATCCATTGATGTCAGTGGGGTGTTAAAATCCCCTACTATGACTGTATTACTGTTGATCTCTCCTTTTATGTTCATCAAGATTTGCTTTACATATTTAGGTGCTCCTAGGTTGAGTGCATAACTGTTTACAAGGGTTATATCCTTTTGTTTGGTTGCTCCCTTTATCATTATGTAGGGTTCCTCTTTATCTCTTCTTATGGTATTCGTTTTGTTTTCAAGTCTATTTTGTCAGACATAGGAACCGTTACCCAGCATTTGTTTTTTGTTGTTGCTAATCCTCAACCAAGGATATACATATTTTTTTCTCCATTGATTTTTAGATAGAATGAAAGGGAGGGATGAAGGGAAGGGGGAAAAGAGTGAGAGAGAGAGAAACATTGATGTGAGAGAGACACATTGATTGGTTACCTCCCGCACATGCCCCAACTGGGCCTGGGGATCAAACCTACAACCCAGGTACGCCTTTGACCCAAGAATCAAACCTGCAACCCTTCAGTGTGCAGGCAGACACTCTAATCACCGAGCCACACTGGACACGGCTGTTACCCAGCTTTTTTTTCATTTCCATTTTCAAAAAATATCCTTTTCCTTCCCTTTTAATCCGTGTGAGACTTTTCTTCTGAGGTGAGTCTCTTGTAGACAGCATATTATAAAGGTTTTGTTTTCTTATCCATTCAGCTACCCCATGTCTTTTGATAGGAGCAATTAAGCCATTTACATGTAAAGTGATTACTGATAAATATGTATTTATTGCCATTTTATTCTTTATAACTATGTTCCTTTTTTTTCTTTCTTCTAATTTTAATCAATGGGCCTTGGTCAGGACAGCTGCTTCCTAAGGTGCTAAAAGCAACAGTAAATCACCGGAAAGGAATGCAGTCCTTACCCACAGTGGCAACACAGCGCCGCGACGAGGAAGGCTGTGGGTTCACTGTGTGCGGGGCAGGTGGCTGGACAGAGGAGGACACATGAGAAATGAAAGGTCCCTCCCCTCAGGTGCTTAGAGTCCAGTTGACAGAACAAGAAAAGGCACATTCTGACCATTCATGCAGCCTCAGTTAGCAAGCAAGTGACCAGCTGACAGAGGAACTGTGAAGAGCAAACCCTGTGGCCAGGTGTCCTGTCTGGTACCAGGTCAGGTACATCACAAGGTAAGTGGTCCGTCTTGGGTTCCTCTTGGGACATTCCTTTAAAGGGCCAGGGCCTTAAAGGGTTTCTGTCTTAGTATTTTTGTAGATGAAGTGACATTATAAACATCTCAAAATCAAAGAGGTGTTTAATGGCAAAAAAAAAAAAAAAAGCTTTCTAATGTTTGTTAAGCAAGATGATCAGACACAAATGAAACTGAAATATTAGAAAGAAGGTAATTTCGAAGTGCACTTTAAGAAGTTCTTCCCTGGTCTTTTCCTTTTAAGGATATGACCTGGTACCCAGTGTTCATTCATCATTCTTTTTTATTGTAGTTGTTAATCCTCACCCAAGAATATTTTTCCATTGATTTTTAGAGAGAGTGGGAAGGAAGGAGGGAGAGAGAGAGAAACATCAATGTGAGAGAGACACATCAACTGGTTGCCTCCCACACGACCCCAAGCAGGGCCAGGGATCAAACCTGCAACCCAGGTATGTGCCCTTGACCGGGAATTGAGCCCATGACTCTTTGGTCCACAGGCTGACGCTCTAACCACTGAGCCAAACCGGCCAGGGCTGCTCACCATTTTTCAAATCCTTTTAGAAACCAAATCACTTCCTTATCTTGACACGCACTCACCCTGAGTAACCATTACAGAGCAAAACGATTCCATGTTCAGTTGCAAAGCTGAGAATCAGACATTTTGCATGTACCCCTTGTTGAGTTGAGAAATAATTGAGTTTGAAGTTGCTTTTTCAATTAGAAACTATTACTATAATCTTAAAGACAAATCCAATTCTATATTGGATGGTATTCATGAAATACAATGTTGTCAGAAGTAAGGAAGAAAAAATACCTTCTCAATTGAGCACATTTGCATTCAATAGTTAAAAAGTAACAGGGTGCACTTGGCTTGTACAATCGTCCTTCAGCAATGCCCAATAGCATTTTAAAGGAGCAGGGCCCACCCTCAGGCTGGGGTCACCACAATTCATCTCCTAGTAACACAAACCCCAAGGTTCAACCTTGGTATTTGGATTGTTGTGGCTTTGAATATGATGCAGTAAAAAGGACTCCATTGGGGGCTCTGGCCGATTGCTCAGTTCTTAGAGTGTACTCCCCTATATCAAAAGGTTGTGGGTTCAATGTCCATTCAGGGCACATACCTAGGTTTGATCCCTGATTGGGGCGCATATGGGAGGCAACTGATTGATGGTTCTCTCTCACATCAATGTTTCTCTCTCCATCTCTCTCTCTTGCCCTTCCTCTCTCTAAAATCAATAAACATATCATTAGATGAGGATTTAAAAAAGGGCTCTTGCTGGGGGCACAGTTCTCACTCTAATGCCTGGGGGCGGTCAGAATAATGATGCTGGCTGTGACGGACACTCTAATAGAAACGAGAATGGCCTCTCTAGCCTTCATACCTTCAGTGTAGTGAATTCATATGGTTGATAACCTTTGAAGCTCTCATGGATGGCTGCCATAGTGTGAGAAGTTTTCTCCCAAAAATGAAGCAGAGTGGTCTGCAAAGAAAGACAGGAAAGCTGTTAATGTTTTGAATGCCCCGTTCCAGTCATGGGCCCCAGAGTAGTGGCTGTCAAGGTCCTCCAAAATATGATTCCAATCCAGCTCTGCAGACTTGTTTCCCATTAGCCTCTACTTATACCCTCTATTTCAGCCAAACTAATGCCCGCCTGTTCCCCCAAACACGCGGATGCCCGCGGCTTGTGTGCCCTACCACCTGGGACATTCTCCTCTCCATTCCCTTTGTACTTATTCCAGGTCTATCCTCCCAAACCCAGGGCTAATCATTAACACTCTACTTTTGTGATCCCGACTGATTCAATTTCTCCTCTTTAAATGCTTGTCAGATTTTGCAGAACCTATTTTACTTAGCACATCCCGTTCTGTCCTTGAGGTACAGAAAATATAGTCAGACTTGACTGTCTCAGTCGTCCTTCCTGAACCTTAGGTTCTTTGGGGACAGGGAATCTGGTCCTGTTCATTTGTACATACTCCCTCCCACGCTAGAGTTCAGCCTCCCACGCTCGGTTGGTGCTCCTGTGACTGCTGGTGGATACAAAGTGCTAACCCGAGGTTCACAAGAGACAAAATCAAATTCATTAAATGACAACAGCCTGACGAGTAAGGAACAAGAAGTACCGGCACCAATGCCAAATTCAGAGGCGGCTTTCTCAAGGATATGAGACAGCCTGGTACATCGCACAGAGTGGGATTTGGAAAGGCACACATGGGGGGGAGGGGGCAGGGCACTCAGGCAGAAAGCGCCACCGAAGCCAACGCAGGGAAGTGGGAAATGACAGTGTGTGCACAGGGACTGGCCAACACTGGGTTTGATCAAACTGCAGTCCACGAGAAGGGAGCGATGCAGGAAGTAAATCACGAGAAAGGCACTCAGCACTTCATCATGCCCAAACAATACTTTTAGCTCAAACACCGATTTTCCTGTCACCCACACCTAACATTCTCGGTTCACTGTAACAGACACCGTTTTGTTACCTGGTATGTTGCTAGCATATGAGACAGGAGATTGCATCTGCTAGCTCCGAGGAGATCCACTTTTTGACACACGTCCATCTTCAATTTGTCAAAGCTCTTTTTGGCAAGGCGTACTTGTGCTTGGACCTATGAAAGTAAAAGGAACCACTCTGAACCAATCAATCTCTTAAGTAGTTAAAATTGGACGGTTAGAAAAGACCAATACTGGGCTTATCTCTTTCATATAAGAACACTCACCTTTGAAAACGCCAGGCAAGCAAGATCCCACAACATCCATTCTTTACCTCCAGAGGACCTCACCGGCAGCACTGCATATCATGATTATATAGCAAACTTACCATCCTAATTATATTTTTCAGTCAAATATTAAAATTCCTCTCCTCTCAAGCCATTTGCAAACTGACCAGAGTGGGGAGAATTCTGCCCTATTGAATTCCTATCGTTCTTTGAACCTGGCTTCCCCGAGGCTTCCCCGAACGTTAACATCTTACATAACATGCTACATTTGTTAAAAAAAGAAAGAAAAAAAAAAGAAATTAATACTGATACAATCCTATTAACAATAGACATTACTTTGATTTTTTTTTTTTTTTTTTTTTTTTTTTACCAATTTACGTCCTTTTCTATTCCAAGATCCAATCTAGGATACTGCAAAGGGGAACTGTTATGCAGCCTAAAAATTGACCTCCATAGACAAACTTCCAAAATTTTTAAACTGAGTATGTACACAAACAACCCTTCGTCCATGCCTGAACCATAGAGTAATTCAGGGACAGAGTGAAGGTAAGGAAAAGATTCAGGGTCATCTATTCTATATATGATTTGATAATAAAGTAGAAGGTTTTAAAGTTTAATACAGCTACATTAAAAATGGTGATGGTAAAATTCCTCTTTCCTCCAATCTGAGGCATCATCACATCATATTTTAACCAGAGAAAGACAGCTGGGTATGAATTTATCTCGGCTAATTTATGTGGTGGTGGTGGTTACCAGGTAGGTACCTGTGAGCTGTGAGTAGTGACAGTTTTTTATTACAGGACAGATAGCGGGGGCAAGGACAATGCCCACCTTAATCACCAGTATATGATCAGCATCTGGCGGCCTGGGACAAAGCAGATGCTGAATACATATTGGTGACTGAATGAAGACATTTTCCAGGACATTTCATAAGGTAAATTACCTGTGTACCATTGTAGAGCATCATCCTTAGAAGTATGATTTTATTTTATAATAAAGATAAGCATGAAGATTATTTAATATAAAATACATTAATTTTTAACACTAATACGACTAATTTACATTCACAGCTTATAATATTATAGGGCATGATATAATAACAATGGATACATTTGTAACAATTTGACAATTGAAACAATTTAATAGATGTAATTCACAATAGACAGGAGAGGGAGGCCAGCCATGATGAGCAGAGCCCCGACCCCCCACCCCCACCCCCAACCCCACAGCTAACCACAGACTCAGGAGTGAGCCCAGCAGAGATCAGAATTATCCTGATAACCCACAGACTTGTGAGCAATAAACATTTTGTATTGTTTTAAGCCACTGAGTGTTACAGTTGCTTATTTCAGGGCATCATTGTGGCCATAGATAACAGATATAAATGGTATGTAGGTGGACAATAAAGGCTTCTGACATGGGGGATAGCTGAGATGGGTCTGAAAGCTTGACATAGTAAATGCAAGGTATCTGCAAGACCGGCAGGCTTATGGGGAGGTTCTAGGTTTCTAACTAAATGCAAATTAATACTTTTGTGGGGATGTGAATGATGCTTTCTCCTTTACATTAACATAATCAGTTACTCATAGATATTCCTTTATCCTAAGAGAACACTTATTTCCCTTGCTTATAATACAAAGCTCATGAATTAATATGCTTTGAAATGTGCCCTAATTGAATTTTGTTTGCATTTTCGTAAAGTAATTTTAGAAACCTAGAAGACGACTTCAACACTTGACCCAGCGAGTTCTGAAAGGCCATATGCTTTGTGTGTCAACAATGATTATTAAAATACTTAATGCACTGCTGAGTTTCCAAATGTTGCGCCCTTTCCCTGCCAAACAAGGAGGATGTTACACTGTTGGGCATTTTGAATACGGTCAAGTTCATTTACTATTTTGTGCTCCATGTCTGCTCTCCAAAACACATTTCCAGTCTGCAGCCTGAGGACAAAACACCAAGGACACAGGCAGGCACAGGCCACCATTGAGAGTCTAACTCCATGTGCCTCCAGATGCACTTAAGTGAAAAATGTTTGATTATTATTCCTTTCAATCCCAGATAAATTACATTCGATTGCATAAACATCTTGTGGAGCTCCTCTGTTTTTCATGGTCCTTTAAAAGTCTTCAGTCAAATAAATGTACCCTTTGTTTATTTCTTAATTTTATTTCTGTTGCTCCACCTTTCTCCTCTTATTCTCCAAGTTCCAGGAAATGATCATGCATATTAGACGCTCTTTATGACCCTGCTTTCCCCAGGCTACAGAAATGCGATTTACCAGATACAGAGCCACGTCTCAAACTGCCAAAACTACAGGCCACTCCTCTGTCCTTACTCCTCCTAACCTGAAATTCTACCTCCTAGCCCCAACTTGACCTACATATGGTGAAGCCAAAGCTATTTATCCTCTTAGTTCAATCTGGTTTCCCCATCCAATGGGGAAGGTCTTTATATTACCCCACAGCCAAATACTTCGAAAGTAGTTTTGTATTTTTTATAAGTGTTTTCTTTCCTTTAAAAACAAAATAAAGAAAAACTGCAACTCCTACTTTTATTACATTTTCTTCCAGAGTAAGGAAGGCTCTGCCTCCCTCCCTCCAACCATTCATTCAGCAAACATTTACTTTCTTCTACATGCTGGGAGCAGTGAGTAAAATGGACATGGTCTCTGTCCTCTTCCACTGGGCATTTTCATATCAGTGAGGGAATAACGACAAACAGAGTGTGGGGTGCTCTCAGCCACACCGTGCCACACAACATTTGCCAAGAAATCTGACTGAGAAGACGTTCTCCAAAGAGCAGTCCATAAGCTCTATTCTGAAGTACAGAGCATAATTACCTGTGCAAGGAGAGAGAGAGAGAGAGAGAGAGAGAGAACTCTAGCAGAGAGGGAAGCATGTGCAAAGGCCCTGGGGCAGAGGGCAAGAAAGCAGGTCCTAGGAGGCCAGTGTAGCTAGATTGTTGAGAGAAAGCAGAAGGGTGGTATGAGATGAGGCAAGAGAGGTGGGTTGGGGCACATCCTGGAACAGGAGCCTTGTAGGCATGCTCAGGATTTTAGGTTTTATCCTGCAAGCAGTGGAAAAACATTGAAGGCCTTGTAGCATAAAAGACATAGGATCTTACTTTCAGTTTGGAGTGATCTCTCACTATGGTGTGGAGATGGTTAGGAGGAGAGAGATGAGGGTAGGTGAGGACAGGTCTAGAGTTAATGGGAGAGATGTTGGTAGCTTTAGACTTTGGTAGTGGTGCTGGATATGATAAAAGTGCTCTGGCTCCTATGTATTTAAACACCCCAAACCTAATATCATTGTATAACTTGCCTTTTTCACCAGATGCTTCTCATGGACACCTGTCACCTCTTGTGGACACCTGAGACCACATCAGAATTCATTTCTTTCCAACCAGCTCTCAATACTCCTCCCTCATTGACTTGATTTGCTCAGCCCTGTTTTCCCCTGAGGCGGCATCCTGCATCCAAGGAAAACGGAAGATCACAGCATGTACCAAGTACTCCTTTGGCTTAGTGAGGTGTCACGAGACAGTCTAGCCTATCTGAAGTCATCTGGAGAACAGAAGGTCAGATATTTGGCTTCATTGAAGATCTTTTTTGGGAGGCCAATGAACCAAGCAAAACCTCTTAGAAAATCAAATACCTTGCTGGGTCACTTTACTGTTTTTAATCTATAATACTTGTCCACTGATGGCAGGAGCAATCATTGTATGATCACAGTGATCACAGAAATATGTGTCAATGACAGTATGTGAACCATGCATGTGTGCAGGCAATCATGTGTAGACTTAGGAACTCTCTCTTTTATCTTCCCTCAACAAAATCCTCACCCCATTTTGAAAAACGTTCCTTCTCTTTACTCTAGTAATGCAATGTAAATGAGGCCTGGCATGTTCTTTTTTTTTTTTTTAACTCTTTTTTTTTCTTTATTGATTTTAGAGAGTGAAGAAGGGAGAGGGAAAGAGAAATAGAAACATCAATGAGAGAGAACAGGGATTGGCCGCCTCCTGCATGCGTCCCACTGGGGATTTGGCCCACAACCTGGGCATGTGTCCTCACCAGGAATCAAACCGGTGACCTCTTGGTGCACGGTCGACGCCTAACCACTGAGCCACACTGGCCAGGCTTGGCATGCTCTTTTATAGGTTGCCTTTTCACTCCCACTGACTGGTTAAGGGGTGGGCATCATAACCTGAGTTGAATCCATCATAAAACACCATAGTTGATGGATTCAGAGAAAGGCACTTGGTTCAAACTGGATAAATTGGAGCCCTTCCTAAGGGTTTTTGAACTTGGAATTAGAGAAAATAACCCTCAGTCCTTTCCTAGTGGCTAACGCACTAGGGACAGGAAGTTCTTGCGAGTTTCCTGGGGTGTAGAGAGAGGGCCCTGGTAGCACTCAAATTCCTGGATCCCATTGCCCTGCCTATGGTTACATGGGATTTCTACTTAACGCCTCCCTTTGCCTTAATGAATTCAAGATGAGTCTCTGTTATGTGGAACCAAGAGAGTACTAACACAGACTGCTTACCTCTGTCTTCTTGGAAATTCATATGAAAGGCTCTAAGAATTTCCATGATGAAAAGCCCTTTTAAGCTTTGGTGATTCCAGTTTTTCTGAAATATATTTGAACAGAGAACCCTTCCCATGCACCACCTATTATATGCCATATATAACGATTAGAGGAGAAATCTTTGTTTTACAGGGGAAATCAAGACCAAGACATTGATCTGATATATAAAACTTAGATTCAAACTCAAGTGTATTTAATTCCACAATTCACGCTCCTTACACCAAACCTTGGGACACAAGGTCATTGATCTACCACTGACCACGTAACTCAGCGTTCTAAGTTTAAGACAGGGACAAAAAGTGC